CTGCAGGAGGGTCTGTGTGCATATCCCACATGTACAGATCCTGGTGTCGGTGAGCGCAGGGCTCTCAGATGTGTGCTGGAACTCGATATCCCATTGTACTCTCCCACTCTGCTGTGTGCTCTTCTGTCTCGTCTTTCCACCAGTTATGAAAGTGCTGTGAATTCCTCTGTGAGTGCTCCCACGACTAATTCCACCCCACTGGGAGGCAAGAATAAAATATATCTGTGCATAATTCAGGCTGTTACTGCATCCAGATGAAAATAGCAGAAAAAGCATTGTGTTCTGGGGAGGCCTCTATCCGTGGTTTGCTGACTCAACTTCATGTGTTCCCCTGCAGTACTGAGCATTGTGCCCAGGTTGCCCCACATGCTAGGACAGCACTCTACCACAGGGTACATCCACAATGCTTTTCCTAAAATTTTGGGGTAGTGTACTGCTCAATGGCCCAGGTTACTTTACAACTTGTGAACTTTCTGCTTGAACATCATCTCGGGATAAGATGGCCAACTTCTTGGTGAGTCTGCCCATGGCCTCTTCTCTGTGAGTACGTGGTGGCAATGGGGAGATAGGGAGGGAGGAATGAAAAGAGAGAGAAGATTGACATCTGTTGTCTCCTCCTGTACTAACACAAGGACAGCAGCGGGATGGGAGTAGGGATCCACCCTTATGACACTATTTCACATGATATATTTCTTTTGGGGAGTAGGTGCCAGCGGCAGCAGAGGGCACAGTATTTGTACACTGTCTTTTCTCATGAGAACTGTTTTAGGAAGCAACTAGACTCTTTGAGTAGCAGTTCCTAAAGGTTGTGAATTTGGTGTGAAATTAGCAGTTTGAACTCTTCCTTTTCTTAGCAGTGTCCCATGAAATCAAAGTTCCTGTCCACGCTGGCTGTGCCGTGCCTGCTGTCAGCTCATTTCTTTTTCTTTTTTTGAGGGGGGTGGGTACCGGGAATTGAACTCAGGACCTTGCCCTTGCCAGGCAGGCACTTGTGCCACTGAGCTATATCCCCAGCCCTCAGCTCAGTTCTTAAACCTGAATCTGTTTCACAATCTCACATGGAAAGCAAACATGCTCATGGTGCTTTTCCGTTTTGTACAACCCTCAGGTCTTCTTGAGACATGCAGGAGGTACTTTGGGAAGTAATTCCTCCCAGGCACCCTCAGGTGGTGATAGTTGCCTGTTACCGTCAGCATCGGGCCCTGTCTTGGGCTCAGTGCGTGGGAGTAGGGACACAGAGTGCACAGTTCTCCAAACTGGGTGGGCTGATGGCAGGGCCATGATAGAGGGGAACAGTGGGGCAGAGCTGCATGAGGAGGGAACCTCCAGTCAGAACAGAACAGGGATTTTGGTGATTTTGGCATCACCTGCAGTCACCCTGGGGAGTACATGACAGCTGTCATAGGATTGACAGATGCATCTCAAATGCCTGAAGGTTGTGTGTAAGGCATGAAGGAAACTCTGCAGTCAGCATCTGTGGGGTGGCTCGTGGCCAGGACTTTTAGTGTGCAGAATCAGCTTGTTGCTGTCAGAGTGAGCAAACATTCATAAGTTTAACTACAGAGAACACTGTGCTGTGTGGACAGGGTGTGAGGATTAATCCACTTGTCCTGCAGCACCTCCTGCAGAAATGGCTCTAACAGATGACGAATGGGTCTCCTAGTGCTTCAGTGGCTCAGGACCGTCTAAATGCCCCTCCCTAAGGATAAGTGCTCTGTAATGCTCACATGGCTATAAAAGCAGGCAGGACAAGCTGTCAGAGTGAGCACCTGTAGTGTCCCTGTTAATGGTTACAGAGAAGATGCTCAACCAACCACATCAAATATGATGTAAGAAAACATTCTCCCCTCCTCTGGGAGTTGTTGAGCATAGGATATAAGCCTGGAAATTTTCCACTTTTTCAAGTGTCACTTGCTATGGGACAGGTGATTCTGATATAGTATCAGTCTCACTCGCATGAGGAGGACCTGTTCTTCACCCATTAGCACTTGTCTGTACTTCCCTGCACAATGACCTCCAATCTTAGCAGGAAGAAAATTTTCTCCTTTCCTGGAATTCATGGCCATTCTGGCAAGCTGTGAGCCGCTTTTGCAGTGCACATGACGCTCTTTGTATGAACATCAGCACTAGTGCCCCTGGGCATATTGAAAATCATGATTTCCCTGTGCGCAGAAACACACCAGACCGGAGAAGGAGGGTGTTTTTATTTTTAAGATCAACAAATCAGCACTTACTTCCTACTCATTGGCTGGGTGAGTGCAGCCACAGCGGATGATTTTCTACCCTGTACTGTGGTGAGCATGTGTCTTCCTCACCTATAGCTTGTCAGGATGCTGTGGCTTTTACCATGTACATGAACTCATGCACCTGCATATGTATTATGTGGAGCTTTTCTAGTATCTCATTCCATTGAACTCCTACAAAAATGTGAAGATGGTTTCAAAAACTATCCTAATGGACCTGCTAAGACAAGGAGATCATGCTGCATGTCAAACTGCTTGTCACCCATTTGGGAAAATTTGAGGGTGTGCTATTTTACTCCTCAGGCACATCAATCAGACTTTAAACATCATAGTCTAAAGTTAAGTTTTATGACAAAAAGGCTGTTCATATTAGAGCATTTCCAGGATTAGCAAAGAGTCAGGCAGGGCCTTCTACATGACATGGGCAAGGACAGGGGATTGTGGGCAGTTCATCTAGGAGTATGGTTCATCCACCACAGGCTCAGTTTTACATTCTTAATACAGGCCACCTTTCAGTGCCTCGGACACAGGGTCTTTCTGTGCCTTACGAGATTCAACTTATATCTCTAGAATAGAAATAAATTCAAAATAGAGCTGTGTTCATGTTGGGAACAATAAAGACTGAGTATCTATCACCCCACACTGAGAGTGTCATGCTGGTCCTATCATTTACTATCAGGGATCCTGAGAAGCTCTCAAACACAGTAGGCCTCAGTCCTTCACCTATAAAATGGGTTTGACACAGGTTTTTGTGCATAGGCCCAGTGGAATGTAAAAAGTGTATTAAGATGCCTGGCAGAATGTCTGACACACTGTGTACTGAATAATTGTTGATAAGTAGCTGGTTTCTAGTATATTCTCAACCTCTAATTCTATCACTCTTTTTTGGGAAAAAAGTGTGTTTTCCAGAAAAGCTATAGCTCACAAAGAAACTGAATAAAAATTGAGCCAAAAGTGCTACTCAGAAATGGTGTCCCTCAAAGTATGCAATGCATGATTAGATGTTGGGAAGTCTGTCCCTTCTGGGACCAACTAATTCACAGCTCATAGAATATGGGTAAAGATTCAGGTTTTCCTCCATGATAACTTGTCTTCCACTGGAATAAATGATTTCAATCATTTCACCTTCACTAAAAGTGTAGCGTTGGGGATCCCAAAGACCTATGACAATGAGGCCTCAAATCCTTCCCATTTCAGTGGCACGGCCACCTCAGTACAGTAGCAGATGTAATTTCAAGGAAATTTCAACACAAAGAAATTTCAAGGAAAATTATATATCCCAACATTACTAACATAAACCTTCTTTACAAAGGAAATGATTGCAAACTCTCCCAGATTTAGTACTGGAGTGAGATGGGGAAGAAACTTGTGAACACAGAGAATTTCTCTGCAAGGACTCACCAGTCATCTGACCACTTGATTAATACATCCACATCACTGGTCAGATCCTCACGTCTACCTTGTGAGAGTGTTTGAGGAAAAGTGGACTCACAAGGAGGTGTGCCCAAAAAAACAGTCAACTGGGCACTGCAAGACCCTGGAAAATGGACACTCCCAGCAGAGTGCAGAGCACCTGGTCAAGGACTTTACAGCCTCTGTTTCCCTGAGAGACACTCTTATCTCTCAGAAAATCCCTACAGATAAGGGGAATAAATGTCCTTGTTCTTACCCTCTGTAAGACCATCTTTATTTCAGGTGAGGATTTCCCTTGTCTGTACCAACCATTCAGAAGTGTGCTAAAAGAGTCTTCCATCCTCTGCAACTTTTGTCTCAGGCCTACAACACCACATCTGAGGGTCTGGCCCTGGATAGCATGGAGCTGCATTAAAAATCATCTGCAGAATCAATTATAGTTACTCAACCCAACCAGTCCTAGCTCTGCACTCACCCACGGCTGCTCTCCTCTAGATTCCACCCCTTCAGGGCTCTGCTACTTTCCTTTAAGTTCCCTGAGGACATCTCTCTGTCTCCATACACTGGGAGTACTCCTACACTTCAGCATCCTATGGGGAGGCTTTGATCCTGCTCAGTCTAGTGTGCTCATATCTCCAACACACGCAGAGGGTCTTATAAATGGCACAAGTGCAATAAAGGTTTGGGGTTCATGGACCTGTAAGGAGATGGGCTTATTTATGGACAGTAAATTTCCCCAGTATAATTGAAGAAGCCAAGCAAATTCAGGTGTACATATATTTTTAATAGAATAGAACAATAGGGAAAAAGAAAAAGAATCCAAGAACTGATTTTTATACTTATATCTATTTCTAGGCTTCATCTAACTGCATGCAAGCTTACACATTTCCAAGGATAGCCCTATTCTTATCCTATGTTACCAGAAATAAAATGTATAGCTTCCTTGTTTGTTTGAAAAAACAGGAAACACACTTACATTTGGAGCGAAAAAACAAAATACATTTGTGAACAATATCACAAAGTCTTATTCACTTCAAAAATCACATTTAAACATCAATATAAAATTAAAAACACACAGAGATCAGCATCATTCAAGTATGATTTGCAAGCTATTTAAATCTCTCAAGAAAACAAGACTTCAAAAAGTCAAGAAAGTCACATATCCATGAAGTAGTAATCCAAACAGAACAAACATCAAGAGGGAATGTATCCTATCACTCCCACCCTCACCCTTCACTATTAGAAAGCTGCCTGGTATCTAGGAACATTAACTGAGATTGGGCCTCACTTTATGTGAAGTGGAACCTAAGCAGTGACTGGATTGTGGAACATTCCTTGTCCTTGTCACTCATCCTGCCCCTCAGGGGCCCTGAAAATAACTTCATCCTTTCTGAAAGCCTGCTTATGTAGATGTCCATAAGCCCTGGAATGCGAACTATCACAGTTGAATATATGCTGCAGGACTTTCATCTGGGGGGTTTCAGCGTGGGCCCTCAGACCCCACAGGAACTCATAGCGAGCAGGATCACTGTTAGGAACCTGCTGGTACACCAGGTACTCCTCCTGAACCAAATCTGTGATGAATTTCCAGGGATCCCCAATAACAGCATGCTCTCTCTCATCTAATAGCTGCCTGTTTCTCAGTAGTTCCCTTAGTCCCTCCTCACTGATCCTGCTGCCCTTTGCAGTGATGATACTCAGGATGAGTATCAGGAGGTCCACTTTAGGAATGGCCTGGACCTCGTTGTCTAGGAGCCCATTATAAGTGAGGACCAAGATGGGCACAAGCTCGTTTGTGTGCCCAGGGGCATCCACTTCCCTCATCTCAATGCCAAAGTTCATACATATGCACTCACAGAGTTCCTTAAACAGCAGAGGGTCGTGCACATGGTAATCACCGCCCAAAATGTGCAGCATTTCTTCCATGGTGACCTGCTCCTTCTTTTGATACTTGTGGAGCAGGAATGGCAGCAATTTATCTAACTTGTCATTTAGGAGCTCACCCTGCATGACCTGCGAGGCATCCCCACCCTGGGCGGAGCTCGCAGCCCCCTCTCCTTGCCCGCTGGAGCCCTCACAGCACTGGCTCTTTGGAGTGGAGCCCAAGGCAGTGGGGAGAGAAAAGATGCCCTGAGGATTCTGAGGACAACTTGCTGTGCTATACCCATACTTTTCTATTGCTGTGGCCCCCATTAAAGCATAGGAAGAAGAGGATGAAGAGGAGTCATTGGCTGCTGCTTCCTTCTCCTCAGCCTTGAGGACCTGTGCATCCCTGCAGACCGCTGTACTGCTTTGAGCAGGACGGCCTCTCCCGAGCTTTCTGTCTGGGGTCCCCTGACCATGAAGCATCATGGTGTTCCCTGCAGACAGCAAGAGCTTGATGTTGAAGACTCCAAATGCCTGGAGGAGGGAAGGAGGCTATTAGTGTTCTCAGCTGAGCACAACACACTTCTTGCCTCCCCCAAAAGTTCACTATAGGTCTTCTCTTGGGAGGTGCTCTAGGGTTTCAGAAGCTTCTGTCCTCCTGAGGTGCTGTCCTAGTGGCCCTGGTGCATGAACTGAGGCTGCTTCTCAGGCTGCAATTGAACTGCAGAGGACAAGGCTCTAGGGAAGAGGGTAAGGCATATGCAGCCTGGGGACTATGAGGTGTTGTGCTCTGGGACAGGTGGAATCTTAGCAACCCATCAGGGCATGCACCCCACCTTGACTCCTGACACCGCCTGGGTCTCCTCTCTTGTCTCAGCTGTAGACACTGCTTCACAACAAGACCTTCCCCTCTTGCTTCCTGGAGCTCCTTCCTGTAAGAGGCAGGGGCCCCTCAGGCTGCAGATCTTAAGCACAGTCCTGATCCACCAGACGTCACATGAGGGATGGACTTGACTTTTGAGTTTCCACTCTTATAGCGGATGGTCACCTCTCTACTCACACAGGGTCTTCAACTGTCCATATGCAGGGCCTGGTTACCAGCCCTCAGCTTGCCTGAGGCAAACTCTTAGCAAAAGTGTCTTCCTCTGAGAGGGAACATAACTCTGTGAGGGGACACATATCTGGACACAGCTGCCTGGAGGCAACAGGTGAAGGTGGACAATTTCCCTGTGTTCCATGTGCCCTGGGAAAGGGAACCTGCCCCATCCTCATCTTGACAGTTAGGTTTGGGGCTTCCCCTAGGGTACTCAGGTGCCCCCTTCTTGAAATCACAGGCCTATCCCTCTGAGACATTCCAAGAGGGAAAGACAGGAGTCCGCTCCACCTGTTATCTGGGTGTGAGGACAGGGGACAAAGTGACAGGTGGAGGCTCTTGTACTAAATGTTGAGCTGAGGGGCTTCAATTTGCCCAAACCTGGACTCCTGACAGGACTCAGGGTCCTCTTTCTGTTCTCCTTGCCCCACCTTCGTCCTACCAAGGCCTTCAGGTTCCTAAGATCAACGACTGCAGAATTAAGAGAGCAGAAACCCTCTGACAGCCCTGCCTGCATGTTATGGTTTATGTCTGTGTGTCCCCCCAAAGCTTCATGCGGCCATGGGGCAGGCTTTTAGAGTTTGATTATGGGTGTGAGAGCTGCACCCGACCTGGGGTGGAGAGTTTGCATATATAAGGGAGAGAAAAAGAGTGCTTGAGGCCATTCCTCCCCCATTCCTCCCTGGTGTGTGCTTGTTGCTTTTGTTGTTGTCTGCCACCCTGAGCTGTAGCACTCTCTCATGTGCCACTCTGCCTTGTAATCTGCCAAGTACGGACTGAAAGCTCCACGAACTGTAAGTGAAATAAACCTTTCCTTCCTTAATTTTGGGCATCAGGTATTTTGTCCCAGCAATGAGAAAAAAGTAACCAAGACAGAATTTGGTACCAGAGGAGTGGGATCGTTGCTGTGGCTATATCTGACCATGTGGTTCAAGAGCCTTTGGAAATGGCTTGTGGGGAGTGTGTGGAAAGGTTTGGAGTTGTTGCCTAAAAGAGAAGCACTAGAACGCCTTCGGCTGTTCTGTTTGGGAGATTCTGTTCAGAGCTCAGAAGACCAGAAAGCTGATAGAAATTTTGCCAGTAAAGACCAGGTTTGGGAAGTTTCTGCTGGGAAGAAGGACTGCATTGGTTGTTGGACTCCAGATGATGTGTGTTATGGCTTGGCAGACAGTTTGTCTGCATTTTGCTCATGTCCAGAGACTTTGCCTAAGACTGAGATTAAGGGCGGCAGCAGACTGATTAATCTGGCGAAAGAAATATCAAGGCAGTCAAATGTTGGGGCAGTGGTAAGGCTATTGTTGGGGGCTCTTAGCCAGATTTATATTGAGAATCGAGAACAAAGAGCCCAGCAGGATGATTTAAAATGTGAGTTTGGCCAGAAAGGAAGCTCCAGTAATGCTGTGGACTGCAAAGATAAGGCTGAGGGGAACTCTATTGCTGAGAAGGAACAAGAGAATGGAAAAGATGGCCTGAGGGCATCACAAGCAGCAAGTCTCCACCCTTTGCAGCCTCAAAATGGCAAAGGTGAAAGACCTTGCTTTGAGAAAAAAGCTGCTGAGCGCCATGTTCCAGAATGGTGGCGGCGGCCGCACCAGGTTCCAGAATGGCAGCAGCATAAAGGATTTGTTCCTCAGAATTGGATTCAGAGTGTCCAGCGATCCAGGCACTCAATTCCTGTGGCCAAGAGAGAGGAAAACTTGGCTACTGCTCCAGGTGGCAGCAGACCTTGGCATCATCCCCGTGGCCCTGGCTTTAAGTGCATGGAGAATGCATGAGTTCTGAGGTTTAAGAGGCTTCCACCCAGATTTCAGAAAGCCTGGGAGGCCAGGCAGTGTGCCCCTGAGAGGGCAGTGTGTGAGGCTGTGAGTGTGAAGCAAAAGGTGCCCTGGAGACCTCAGAAGTTTAGAAAAGCCAGGACCATGGATCATCTAAGGAAAGCTGCAAGGAGGGAGCAAAGTGGGCCTAAGAGAGAAGCCATGGAAGCTGTAACCACCAGAAGGGCCACAGGGGTGGACTCATGCAAGCCCTTTGGAGCTCACAATGTGCCACAAGTTGCTTCAGATGCCACATGTGGAATTACAGGGCATAACGTTAGCCATGCTGGATTTTGGACTTGCTTTGGTCCCAATGCTCTGTGTCTCCCTATTTGTACCTTTTGGAATGGTACTGCTTATTTTGTGCCATTGAATGTTGGAAGTGTTTAACTTTTCATTTGTACAGGAGCTCACAGCTAAGAGTTTGCCTTACATCTTGGAGGAGACTTGAGACTTGGACTTTTCAGCAGTGCTACAACTGTTAAGACTTTGACAACTATTCCAGATGGACTAAATGTTGTTTGTATGAAGGGATGGTCATGAGTCTTTGGGGGGCCAGGGGTGGAAAGTTATGGTTTATGTCTGTGTGTTCCCCCCAAAGCCTCATGCGGACATGGGGCAGGCTTTTAGAGTTTGATTATGAGTGTGAGAAATGCACCCGCCCTGGGGTGGATAGTTTGCATATGTAAGGGAGAGGAAAAAAGTGCTTTAGGCCATTCCTCCCCCATTCCTCCCTGGTGTATGGTTGCTGCTTTGGCTGTTGTCTGCCACCCTGAGCTGTAGGTCTCTGCCTTTTGCCACTCTGCCTTATAATCTGCCAAGTACGGACTGAAACCTCCACAAACTGTAAGCAAAATAAGCCTTTCCTTCCTTAATTTTGGGCATCAGGTATTTTGTCCCAGCAATGAGAAAAAAGTAACCAAGACACTGCACATCCCCAGATGACCAAAGAAGCAAGGTAAAATCTGTGGAGCATCCACGTGTCTGGGTTCAGGTCGGAAGTACCAAAAACCTACCTCAGTGTCCTCATCTTGACTCTCGGTGATCCTGGGACACCTGTGTGTCCCTGACCAGATGGGGATCCCTGAAGACAACCTGAACACAGTCTCAGAGCTAGGTTGTGACCCCCATGACATCCTGAGGAATCTCAGATAAGTGACCAGATGGCCATGCTGTCATCCCCACATGGGGCTATCAGTGCTGATAGCGAGACCTGTGCACATCTCACTGGGACCCTGGTTATGGTCTAGATCTCCTCTGAAAGACACAGGGGCACATAGGGAGGACCTTTGTAAGGTGTCTGGAGTATGGGTCTTACCGCTCCCTTATTTTCAGGTAATGGGGCCTGCTAAGAAAAGGAAGGTCACTGGGTGTGACAGAGACATTTATATCTCCTGACCTGGCTCCTCCTTTCACTTCTGCTTCTTGGAGGACTTGTGCTGAGCAGATTTCCTTCTATCAGGCCCTTCCACTCTCCTATTTTGCCTTGTAGCTGGCTGACTGCCTAGCGAAAACCCTATAAATTGTGAGCCCAAGGCAAATTTTCTTCCAATAAACTGCATTCTAAAGATTCTTAATTATTCTCCTGTTGCTGTCTGCCCTCCATCAACCCCATCCCACCCGAGATGAGCTGGTCACTCCTATGGAGACAACAACTTCATCTCCCTAAGAACTCCCTTCCTACCAGTGCTAGAAGTTTGCACTCGGCTAGGTTCCCCCACAGCTTAGCCAGGGAAGCAGCACACTTTATGAGGTCTGGGGTTTCTGAAGAGAAGGCACCTATCATCTTCAGGAAGTGTGGACAACCTGGACTGGCCAGCTCTTGGGATCCTACTTCTGCTGAGTATATAAAACTCCCTCTGCTGATCTGTGTCACTTCTTGGACTAAGATCCTCAGCTTTTTGAGTCTTCCTGTCCCCAACTGTTAGCAGAAATGACAGCAATTTACATAAAGCTGCTTTCACTGGAATACTGTAGTGAGATCAGGGGAACCAGGCTCTGTACAGGACCTTCTTTATAGGAATGTGGGTTACCTTCAGGTGTTCTGTGCTGGAAAATGAAGGAGTAATGAGTGGCAGCAATTCAGCCTCCCACAGAGTCAGAATCCAGACTCTGAATGATAACAACCTGAACCAGGAAGACAAAAGAGAAATTGGGAGAAGGTGCCAGGGAATCGGGAAGGAGGTGAGGAGAAAATGAAATGTGCAGTAAGGTTAAATAGAAAGACCATAATGTGGAGAGCATACCAAAGAGTCTGGGCGTTCCTCTTGTTTTCTGGCTCATATCAACAGGAGATTGAATTTGCAGAAGCAAAGAGAAACCTGCAGGCTGCAGAGGGTCCTAGGGAGAAGATCGGGATTCATGCGCTGGAGGTGGATGACATCTTCAGGGACAGTGTAAAGTTGAGCTGGACAGGTAATGGCGGGTAATTTTCCTGAATACAGATGCTGCTGCAGCCCTGGGAAGAGGGTGAGCATGGTACTCAGTGGGGCAAAGGCTTGATTGTTTGAGCCTGGGACTCAGATCTGGGATGGCTTCACCTCAGTGCCATCTGCCCACAGTGACTGTGTGAGTGACAG